CGATGCTTTCTTTCAGCTTCTTGAAGTTCTCTTTCAGCGTCTTCTTCCTCTTCGATTCTATCAAGATTATCGAACTCCTTAGTTGCTGCCATTGCTTTCACAACAGGGTCTCTTAACACAGAGATTAAACCACCACCAATTCTGTACTCTTCTTCATCGCCAATCAGAAATAACCGTTGGTCGGGACCAGATGCCATTGGAATATCTACCGCCAAAAGCTTCATGTCATACTGAAGAAACAGACACATGAACATAAGAAGTAGACCAAACTCACAATATAGGGAGCGTGATTGGTAATAGGGATTCGCTGATGGTATGAAAAAATGAAAGCACCTAAAAGACTAGACAGGCATACGCAATGTCATGTAATATCAGTTTCCACATGTTATATATACAAGCCTAAACGTTTAACTGAAACTGAAAGAACAGCTATGAAACTCCAATTCTTCTTCCAAATTCACCAGCATAGAGAGATTGATGAATGAAAAGATTATCTCTCCGCTTAACCAAATGCCCAACCAACCTTACGAAATCTACAACCAAAAAATCTGCCGAGACATCCTTATAAACTCAGCCCTTCGCAAACTGCACTCTAGCCAACTCACAACAGCTCTAATCTACAACATTCAGTCCTAGGCTAGATACAGTAGACCTATAGCTAAGAGTTGAGCTGCTGAACTTTGTCAAAGCTAATTACAACTCTGAAGATTACAACATGAACAAGATAGAAGAAAGTTGAGTAAACGAGGAACTGAGGAGTTGAGAAAGTGAAACCTGGCCTTTCTTCTTCTTAACTTCAACGCTAACAAGGCCCTTTTGCTCAGAACCCTGAACGGGGAATAGAAGAAAGCAGCGCTTGCTCCTAATTGTTGGCTTGAATTTCTTAAATGTTATGCCACCACCTGACATCACATACGCTCGTAAATCTGATCCTGATAGAGGAGCACCCATAACTTCTAGAATTTCAGCTGCCGTGTTGATCTTCCTCATGGTCATTCTATAAACTTTATCCGGATTAATTGTAAACCTTGAGCGGAGGTATAATCCCTATTATTAGAAAAATGCAGATAGCTGTCAAGGAGTGATTCCTAAATGATACGGGAGTAGGAGACTGTAACAGCAACAAACCATATCATATAGCAGTTTTTGCATTCCATAAACAATATCATGCTATAAGACACTTGAAATATACAGTGCAAGATCTCCTGTATTTCTGTGAAGGAGATCAGTTAACAAGGAGAATGAACCTATACTCTAGTCGTGGTAAAATCAAACCAATATCATTGTAAGCTCCACATCCATTCACTATCAACCAATAACCCTACAGAGAAATTCCTCAGTTTCATTTTTATTCAGGACAACTTCATGGCACTGAGTTGGGCAAATATTGCGAGATCATCACTGAAACATTACTAAGAAATGGAGCCAACCACCAAGAATTGAAGCACAAATTCCCATCGAAAAGCACATAAAGAGCGAAACTTACAGAAAATGCTACAATGGCTGAGGAGAGTGCAAGAAACCCATACTTGGCCATGCCCTCTGAGAGGCCAACAAACGTACTAGCAATTCCAAACATAATCCGCCAAAGGAAAATACATACAAAAACACCTGCAGCTCCAAACACAACAAGACTATTCTTTTTCCAAAATGCATCAATGTGCAACCCTATAGCCTCACGGTATCTAGCAAAAGTAGAACTAACAGCTTTGACAGGCTTATCAACAACCTTTCTCGCAAAACTCCCATCAACCTTTCGAAATCCAGAGCTCTTAGTGGATACCAATCTAAACGCCGATGCAAAACTCACATTCACACGAGGCAAACCCAAAGCTTGCTGCAACTTAGGATTGAGCTTAGGAGACGACAGAATCTGATATAATCCCACGTTTGTGGAAGTGGGTTTCGAGGATAAGCTGTGGAAGCTAAACTTAGGCTGAAGCTGAGAAACACCATTGGAGGGAATAGCTGGAGAAGACAAAGCTGATGGGTTTGATCGGCCAATTGTGACAGGGTTGACCCGAGTGTAATGCAGCCGAATAAACCCTTGAATTGCTTTGAAATCCGATGGTTTCACCATATTCTATAGCCTTTTAGATCGATCACACAAAAGCTCGAACCGAAGATCCTAACTTGGAGTATCGCGCCTGATTCAAAATTACCTTCGACTTGAGAACTGATCAAAGGAATCAATGGAAATGCGAGTTTTCAAATTGGGATCGATGAGTTAAAGAGTCGTAATGAATCCCATTTTCGCCGAAGCTTGCTGTTCGTAGCAGCGATTGGGGATCAATGGTGATCGATCGAATTGAAGAAATATCGGGTCGGGTCGGGTCAGGTTGATTCGTCCGGGTCGGGTTTAATTGGATACCGAATTATTGATCGGGTTTTACGTCTTACTTTCTTGAAGGAAGGAACAAAGCACAACACAAAGGACCCACAAGTGTCTCAGTTCAAAACTCCATGCCCACTCACTACTTTGGTCGGTTCGCAGATGACAGGTAGGCAGGGGTAAGATTGTCATATGTTATAATTCTGTCTCTAAACGTTTTTTAAAATTTACTTAATTAGCAATTACTATATATGTAATTTAATATACATTTTTTTAAAAAAAATCTGATAATAAAGATTGAATTGATTAAAATAGTTTAAAAGAAGATTTCATGTAGAGATGCATAGAATCAAAGGTAGCAGCCTAAAGTTTGTTTTCTACCAATTTAATAAAATTGGAACAATATAGAATATAAGCATGGTCCATGCTCAAAAATAACAAGCATAAATAGAGAAATAGACCATAAGTATGAAACCATGCATAGACCAAATCTTAATTATATTAATATGAAAACAAACAAAAAACAATGTAAATTTTATTGTAAATTGATCTCTAAATCTAAAAGAAATGTTACATTGTTTTTTTTTTATGGCATAACTTGTGAATAGCTTACTAAGATTCACTGTAAAAAGGATAATTGATAATTTGATATGATGTGTATTCGAGCATTAGTAAAAGGATCTTCAAATCTAAAAGAAATTAACAACTATTGATGATACAACTTGCATTATAGAACAAATTTAGAAGTCAAAATAAATGACTCCATATACTTTTTGAATCCTTCACGAAATTTTCAGTAATTAGTACTTGCGATGTTCAAATTATCTCTCTCGCTTAGATGGGATTTGTGTTCACGAGCTTGTGAGATTCTTGCATACATAAAGACAACGGTGCATATTTTTTCGGGACCGATTATATTATACACTAATAATCCTCAGTCTCCAATTATATGATTTCTAGCTACTACAAAGTGTCTACTGTCCACTCGTTAATGCTTAAAAAATAAGAAATAAAAATGTATAAATAAAAAGACGACTTAATTAGATAAAAACATTATCTAAATTCTCAAGCTCTTCCACCTCTCATTAAATGTGATCCCTAAAGAAAACGAAAGAACCTTAAAAAGCTGGCTGATGAACCTCTTGATGGCTCTATCCCATCATAATTCAATTCTAATCATCCCCCTAAAACAATCCTGAAACACAACACAAGATTACACAAGTCACCATCTCGCTCTCTGTCTCTCGTACTCTCTCTCTCTCTCTCATCTTTCTCTCTCATTTATGGAAGATATGGTGAGATATGAAGAAACAGTTAGCTTTCCCTGAATCCCATGAAGACAATGACCCAACATCACCACCATCATTATCATTAATCATTCATCATTATCATCGTCATCTCTTTTTGTTTGTCCCTTCTTTGAACCACCACTTGCTAGTTGCTAGTTGCAACATCCACCTACTTAATTCACCTTATTCTATAAGTAACAGTCTCCACTTATAGTTTCTATTGGGTTGAGAAGATTTCAAAAGGAGAGCTAGCTAGGGTTTTCAGACAGCTCCTAAATCTGAGTGTGAAACATCAAGAGCCATGTAAGGGTTTTCTTTTGTCATATCATCATATATCTAGTACCATTAGTTGTGACTTGCTTGAGATCTAATCCCTCAACCACATGAATAGATAATCGATTTCTCATCAGTTCTCTGCCTTTAGGGTTTTTTCTCCTTGTCTTAAGGTCTATATTTATATAATCATTCCTGGCTCGCTTCAGATTTCTTCTTTACCTTTGTCCACAGAAAAGAAAATATTGTGCTTTCCATCAATTTCTCTACTTTTAGGGTTTTTCCCCTTGTCCAAATTGAAGGCATATAATGCAATTTCTCTGATTTTGGACTTCAATCTCTTGCACAAACCCTCCAGAAACCGAGATCTCATGAAAAAGAACTGAATAGTTCTTGGTCCAAAGCTTGTATTTTCTAAAAGGTGATTACCTTAGATTAAGCCTTTCTATATATTTTCTTAATTTATTTCTCATGATCTGCAATGACTATGGTAGAATCTTTTCACACATGTTTTGGACTTGTCTGCTGATTAGGTATATATTTACTCAAGTAGTTATTATTAATGTAGTTATTACTACGGGAACTGTTCATCTGCGCACAGGGCTTACATCACTCAGAAACCAATTTCAAAGTTTTAAAGAAAAAAACTAATGTTTTTTATGATTTCAATGTTTGATGAACAGTTCGTTCTTTGTCTCTCTCTTGGTAGCCTCTTCTTGACAAGACCCATCAGTAGTTTTACTTTTACAGTAAAGCTTGGTTCTTTCTGTGAAGTTTCAAAAGAAAAACTCCCCATCCAAACTTTGTAAGTTAAGTTCATTCATATATACTTATTACATTATAAGTTGACATTCTAATTCATTGCTGATGCATTTATAAGTAAGTACATGCAATAACCTTTCAAACTAAATGTTCAAATATAAGTACATAGGAAGTTGTCTTGGTCACATTTTTGTCTAGTTGTTGATGGCCCATTTAAAGCAATAAGTGCATGTGTTTGAAACTATTCATGCCTAATGTATTCTTCTGTAGAATAACCTGCTTTTCATAAGTGTGTGTGGCCCTTCATTGTTTCAAAAGTATATATATGAATCAAGACCAAAATAGATAGATATAGAAGGAGATTCTTTCAGTCCAGTCATGGATAGAAAAAGAAGAGGGTAGAAATATCTGCCGACTCATCCATCCAAACACTCGTGGTAGAGAAACGATAAATTTAAACCGCAGTGACTGTGTGAATGATGCGGGAGATATTTTTGATCCTTCTTTATCTGTGTTTGGACTGAAGGGAGCTCCTTCTTTTTCTACAAATTTTCATTTTTCTCATAATCTGTTTATATGTGATGAGTATAGATTTGCATCTAAAGACAATGGTTTCAACTTCAAAACCGAATTGAACTGAAACTGGATTTGCATTTTCAACCTCTTTGAGCATCATCTCTGATTAATCAAATTGTAGATGATGGATGAATCAAAAGAACTTAACCATATGGTTTAGGATTTGAGTCATGTCCACGTGCTGGAGAATCTAGCCACTAACTCGCTACAGGGTTGCATTAAAAGGTATAGCCATATTAAAAGTAATGCTTTTTGGGGTTAAATTATTAAGTAAAGCTTAATTTCTTTGAATGATATATTACATTCTAAGGCAAATCTTCGGTTATGACGACTATGGATATATTACGATGGTCTCTCTTAAATAATAATAATAATAATTATAATAATAATACGTAATGTTGTGTTTGGGCAGTGTAGTAAGTAGTAACATGTATAAAGTACACATTTTCCTCCCTAATTTATTTGATGGGTTGAGAGATATTATTAATTAGTATACATAGGGGTCGATTGTGTTCTTGCCTTATTCGTATTTTGCAATGTAAGACTTTTATACCTAAATTGACAAAAAAAAAAGAAGACTTTTATACTTGTAATTTGTATTTTCCCGATGATTGGAATTGGAACCATGCATGGGTCACGACTTTACATCGTCCTCTGGTTAAAAAGATATATTTACAGTTTGAAATCTTTTTTTCTTTTTATATGCTATATGTGTTAGATATCGACTTTTATAATTATATATCTACACTAGTACATAATTCTTGATTTTTTATATTGGAACCGTACGTATCTGAACTAAGTTTCAAAGAACTGATGATGCCGAAAAAAGTAAGGGGATATCCATATATGAATAAGATGACAATATCTATCCGAAAATAGTATAGAAAACTTGAAACCATTACGATTTTTATAATTCTAAACCACCACATAAAAAAGTATAACACATGGTTTTTCATTGTTCGATAAAGGTCGACACATAAAAAAGTATAGATATCGTGCACGATCTCGAGTTTTTATTTAATATTGTCTCAAAGGTATATTTGTGTGGCTCATGTATTTGACTGATGAAATAATGCAGATATGGAAATGCAGCAAGTATATGGACCCTTGCTAAAAAATATACGGATAATTTCTCATCATGTGATTATCCAATTAGTTTATATTAAAAAGAAAAGGCATCAGCATTACAGCATCATTTGTTCGAGGGAATGAGATAATTAAACAATATATATGATCTAGGGTTTAGAAAATTATTTTAGGCCAAGCCGGTGGTTACCGACAAAATGTTTCATCTTTTTACGTGTAGCAAAACAATAGTTTAAATTTCCCTTGAAATTTCCCAAACCCCATCACGTTTTAAGCTTCATGTACATCGAGAGTTTTTGTGCATGTAATATTCCCAAATTCTTGGTGAGTGGTACTCCAAAAAGTACAAATATTATATACATGTACTAAAACAGAATAGTTACCTAGTTTACTACAAACTTATGTTTTCATATAATGTCTGACAATTTAATCAAAATGCAAACATTACAACTCTCTATATTGCAGTTTATGATAAAGTTAGTGAGAATTAAAGGCTCTCAAAATCTCATAATATATCACTCTCGTTCACAAAAGAACTACAAAACCGATTGATACAAAAACTTGAAACGAAAGGAACAATACGAGTTCAAGATTGGGAAAAAAATCCCTACTTTCTCTCCAGAACTTAATCTGGAATCTACTATTTGTTCTTGCTCTTAATTTGAATGAATCTTGTGTAAAACGTTTTTCTCCCTGGTTACAAAACGAATTGAATCTTTTTTTTCTTCTATTATTCTCGTAACTTTGAGATTAAGAAGAATTCGAATTGACATACCGACTAGTTGTTAAAGATGGGGTCGTTAGCTACAATGAAAATGAATAAGAAAATTAATTATAATTGTTGATGAAATTTTTAAATGAATTGCCAAACTTGCACCATGCATGAAATACAAGAGAAAACCAAAAAAGTTGAGGTTTGTCAACAACTTGCTATTTTAGTAATTTAGTAACAAAAGAAAGATTATAGTGAGCTATTAGTTTAACTTAAAACTAAAAACAGAATCAAGTGATAATTTGTCCATGTCTCCCTCTCTCGGAAACTGTGGTTTTTTTTTATCTTTCTTTAACTATTTGTGCGCATTGAACAAAGTGAGTGTTATTGGGGTTCTCACTTTTCCTTCATAGTCCAAATCACTTTTTTCCAAATATGGATTGTTTTGTCTCCAAAGTGATTTTTCCATTTCTGGTATATTTACCAAATTACTAATCCGAAAACGGCACGACGGTGTCTTCCAGCATTTAAAAACGACACGAGGGTCTATCTCCAAGTTAAGAAAACGCAGACACGTGAATATTACCAGATGGGTGAATAAAGACCCAATAGCTGGCGGCCCACTTGTACATTAAATTAGCCCATTATTGTTTTTTTCCAACCGACTAAATTCCGAAAAGTAAATTAAACCGGAGAATTTAATTTGAAAGAAGATAAAACTTACCGGTACAGAGAGAAGTCATTTTGAGAAAAATCAGCAACTCTGGAGAGAGCGTGTTCGTCATTGAAATCGAAGCTTGGAGATTCAATATTTCTTCGATCTCGTGTTCTTCGTCTCGTTTCGTCGGTGAGAATCCGTTAGTCTCCTTGCCAATGTTTGAATCAAAGATCATGTATAATTTTCTTCGATTTTTATGTTAATTGTTTGATCTTTCAGGTCCAGTGTTAATAAAAAATGAGTTCAACTGTTTCAAATCCCCAAGGAATCCTGCAACCAGGCTCATTTCTGCTTCCAGAATCAGAATCTATGAAAAAAGAGGAAGCAGAGTTAGTTTCTGTGTGTTGGAATCAGGATTCAAGTTGTTTTGCAGCTGGAACGAGTCATGGTTTTCGTATATATAACTGTGAACCTTTCAAAGAAACTTTCAGGCGTGAGCTAAAGGACGGTGGTTTTAAAATCGTAGAGATGCTTTTCCGTAGCAATATACTGGCACTTGTTGGTGGTGGACCTAACTCTCAGTATCCTTCAAGCAAAGTACTAATTTGGGATGATCATCAGAGCCGTTGCATTAGTGAATTTGCATTTAGGTCTGAGATTCGTGCAGTGAAATTAAGAAGGGATCGGATTGTTGTTGTTCTTGAACATAAGATTTATGTTTATAACTTTATGGATCTTAGACTTCTTCATCAGATTGAAACTCAAGCTAATCCTAGAGGATTGTGTTGCCTTTCTCATCATTCTAATACGTCTGTGTTGGCTTGCCCTGGTCTTCATCGAGGAGAGATTCGTGTTGAACATTTCGGGCTTAACATGGTACAAATCATAAATGCTCATGATTCAAGTATTGCGTGTATGACCTTGACATTGGATGGTTTGTTGCTTGCAACTGCTAGTACAAAGGGAACTCTGATTAGAATCTTCAACACAATGGATGGAACTCGTTTGCAAGAGGTAAATATCAGATACTGGTTTGCTTTGATCACTGTATTACATTACTAACAATTCAAAGGTGTTTCTTTATAGGTACGAAGAGGAGTCGACAGAGCAGATATATATAGCATTGCACTTTCACCAAATGTGCAGTGGCTGGCGGTATCAAGTGACAAGGGGACTGTTCACATTTTCTCTCTTAGAGTTAGGGTTGTTGGGGAGGATTCTTATTCCACTGAAAATGGAGCTCTGTTGACACAACAAAATTATTCTAATTCTCTGCAAGGCCTTGTTTCTCCAACCATTGGTACCAATCCCGGTTCGTCATTGTCGTTTATGAGAGGTAAGGAAAAATTCTATGTAGTAGCTCTAAGTCCAAGAGATTTATTGACTATGTAGTAGCTAAGTCCAAGAGATTTACTCCCTTCATAGTTGCAGGATTGTTAAGATTATACATTTTTGTTAACGTTATTCTTTCTCTTGTTTATTATCTCTTCCATGAATGTAGAAATGGGAAGAATGGTGTTTTTGAAATGCTACTTTGAAGCCTTAAAAATTCGTTCGCTCTTTCTTACCTAACATGTACACTCTTGTTGCAGGTGTTCTACCAAAGTATTTCAGCTCGGAATGGTCATATGCACAGTTTCATGTATCAGAAGTCACACAATTCTTCGCAGCATTTGGCAGTAACAACACGGTTGCTATTATCGGCATGGATGGAAGGTATAATCCCAAATAAGCCCATTCACTTTGTATTTCCATCACACTACCAGGAATCTTTAACCAGAGCAAGTACACTAGTTGTGCATCTATAAAAACCACTCTCAGATCTCGGCTTAGTGCTTACTTGTGTTTTCTTGTCTCAGTTTCTACCGATGCAGCTTTGATCCCGTGAACGGAGGAGAGATGGGGCAACTGGAATATATCCACTTTATGAAGATGGACAACCGCCCGTGATAAGTCAGACTCATGCTTCACTCACTCCTCTAAGCCTCTGTACATAACCATGTCTATGTAAATAGATTTGGTGAGACTGCATAAGATTTGATTATTGCATATTGCTACTTCGAGTGAAAGGGCCTGCATTACTGATTGAGACTATGTGTACATAGCTACGTAGCAAGATTCATCCACAACAGTTTGCTTCGAACACTGTATTATGTAAATTTTCAGATAACACTATAGAAAAGTAATAACAATAGAAAAAACAGTTCAATCGAATTCCCAAGAAACCCGAGGCCTTCATTTTATATGTTTCTTGAATCTGGGATGTCTTATCATATCAAATACGAATCATCTACAATGTTTCAGATAATCTCACAATGCAGCCATATTGAATCGAGCTGTTGCTGCATCAAAATGGAGGATCAATGGAAATGGGGACACTTGGGTGAGGTAAGCTTGAAGGTAAGTCGATTCCTGACATAAACTCGCTTCCATATAAAGCTGCACCAGCTCCAACTACTGCACCAGCTCCCACTCCTACAGCAAACCCTGGGCCAGTCCTAGCATATCCTCTT